AGAATTCGGACTTACTATCTCTATTCTCTCCTTCAAAGGTTCCACTGTCACGTCCGCTGGAACTTTGACTGGTACCGCCGAAGATCTTCCTGTCACCACAGATTGTGTCAACCCGTCAGCTGCCACTTTGGCTGAGGCGTTGGTTGGAGCAACTGTCTTCTCCACACTGCTGTCCGAAGCTTCGGTTACTACCAACCCTCAACTTGCCTTACTCTTTGGTCTAGCTCAAGTTCTCGACTACCTAACTTTTTCTATCTCTGTTTCCGCTCTTCTTGCCTCTAGCATCAAGTTCTCCTCGTCATCAGTCACCACCTTCCGTCTCTTTGTCAATTGCCGTTCTGGCTTCTCTCGATTTGGCAGAACATCCACCTGCACAGGTCCGCGTGCTGTCGTCTGAGGTGGAATTTGAGATCGATTGTTATTCTCTTCTTCGACCGAAGAAGAGACTTCCTTCACTGGACTCGACTACTAAGATTTCTTGCTCCCTCGGAAATTGCTTCTCCTCCTTCCTTGTAAGCAATCCCATGCCTCGATAGAAATTCACGAGAAAGGGAGTCAAATGATTCGCCAACTGCCTTGTCCACCGGGAGCTCGCATTCACCCAGACAATATCGTAAAAGATTCTTGCCTAGTGCATCCGCTGTCCCTTAATGACTCGTTTGAAGAATCCCGCCTGCCAAGCCGTGATATATGTTGTTCGCGCCGGTCGCAGGGTATGCATAATGCTCAGCGCAATTGCCCGTCTCTTCGGATCCTTGTAGTCGGCGGTCTTCCATCCATTCGTCCCCGACCTTCCATTATTAAAGAGTGGCCCGAAGGAGAATTCTTCCATGCGAGTAAGGTTAACGCTACTCTTCTTGAACAGGAGATCTCCGTCGCTACCTGCACACGGCCCCATCACTCTCGCCCAATGCTTCATTGTCCACAGCATTGGATTGCCTCGGAGATCCTCGCCCTCGGTCTGATTCTTGTCCATAATCTCCTTGCAATTGCTCACCGAGATGCAGTTTCAATTCCATAGGAGGAAATCAAGATGCAATTTGTTGAGCTCGCGCCTAAAGAGTCGCAATTCCTCGTAGGGTACCTTCAATGGAACTCATTTCCGCACTTTGTTGCTCGTCTTGGGCGGCACCATGTCTCCAATTCGCGTCGTCACGGATAGCGATGCCGATCAGTCTCTCTTTCTCTCTCGCCCCGTCCGTGCCCTTTCAGTATCACAATGTTGGCGCGTTTGCTTCTAGTCCTGCTTTTTCCTTGATGCCCTAGCATTTCCTCCTCCCGCGCCCAGTAGGATTCTCAATGCGTGCGAACGTTGTCCGGCCTGTTGCGCATTTCAAATTGATTTCAACGTCTTGTCCCAACGGGCTGTTGGGATTCTTCTTCAAGCTATGGACCGCCACTCTATCTCAGTTGGGCTTCTAGAGCAAGCCATTCACCAGGCAGGAGAATACCGTGATTCAGACCGCTGTTGTCTCCTGCTATGGACTTGCTTTCAGCGGAGGATTTGGTTCATATCTTCTTGCCATGGACCAGAAGACGTACGAGATTCTTGGTTTGGACTACCCTGGAAATAGTGCAGAGGATGTGAAGAATCCGTCGCTCGGATGGATGATTGCCTTTTTGTTCACAGTTAGTTTTGTTGGACTTCTGGCTCTTGTCCCTCTTCGAAAGATTATGGTCATCAACTACGCACTCACATATCCAAGTGGGACAGCAACGACCATTCTTATCAACAGTTTCCACACCTCGCGAGGTGCCGACGTTGCCAAAAAGCAGGTCAGATGTCTGGGAAAGCACTTCACTATCAGCTTCTTTTAGAGCTTCTTCAAGTGGTTTTTCAGTGGCATCGGTGATAGCTGCGGTTTCGACAACTTTCCTAATCTCGGGTTTCTGGCGTACAACAACAAGATATTCTTCAACTTCAGTTTGACGTACATTGGCGTAGGCCTGATCTGTCCCCATATTGTAAATTGCTCCATCGTGTTCGGAGCTCTTCTATCATGGGGCTTCATGTGACCGTTGATCAACACTCGTGAAGGAGATTGGTTTCCGTCTGGGCTGGGTCAGAGTTACTTTAAAGGTCTATACGGGTACAAGGTTTTCATTGCTATTGCTCTTGTTCTAGGGGATGGCTTGTACAACTTTGTAAAGATCTTGTTCGTGAGTGCGAAGGTGATTCATAAACAGTACAAGAGTCAGCAACTTCCCACCAGGGAAGAGGGAGAGGAGGTAGTAAACCTTTCCCTCGGCGAGAAGAAAAGAAGAGATGTGTTTCTAATGGAGGGCATTCCTAATTGGGTGGCAGTAGCTGGTTATGTCACTCTTGCTGCCATGTCCATCACCCTGATTCCTAAAGTTTTCACGGCTATGAAATGGTACTTCGTTTTCTTGTGTTACCTTTAAGCGCAGGTGCTGGCTTTCTGCAACTCATACGGCACAGTTCTCACAGACTGGAGCTTGGCTTCTACTTACGCGAAATTGGGCCTCTTTGTTTTTGCATCATGGGCTGCAAACAATGGCAGTGTCATGGCAGGGTTGACAGCTTGTGGAGTTATGATGTCCATAGTGTCAACAGCTGCCAACCTGATGCAGGACTTTAAGACTGGTTACCTTATTCTATCTTCACCTCGATCCATGTTCGTAAGCCAGATCCTCGGAACAGCTTTGGGATGTGTGATTGCTCTCCTTACTTTCTAGATATTTTGGACAGCTTTTGACATCGGCTCGCAAACGGGAGAGTACAAGGTACCCAATGCCATCATTTTCCAAGAGATGGCAATCTTGGGTGTTGCTGGATTTTTTGCACTCCCTCAACACTGTCTGGAACTATGTATCGGATTTTCATCTTCGCCATTGTGACCAACCTCATTCAAGATACTGCTCCTCCCAAGTATGCCCAGTTCATTCCCATCCCTATGTCCATGGCCATTCCTTTCTACATCGGAGCTTACTTTTCCATAGACATGTTTGTGGGGACTGTTATTCTGTTCGTATGGGAGAAGCTGAACAGAAAGGAATCTGAGGTCTACGCAGGATGGCTCGCCTCTGGTCTGATATGTGGTGATGGTATCTGGACTATTCCTGCTGCCATTTTGTCTCTGAGCAAGCTCAAACATTATCACGATGAAGAAAAAGGAATGGTTTATGTCCAATTCACTTGGGGATCTCCGCCGCTTGACATGTTCAAGGAAGAGTCTTATACAGCAGCCTTAGCTCCGGACGGTCTATCTGCCACTTTAGAACATCATGAAGCAGACGGCATGCGCAGACTGCTGTTTATGTTTTCTACCAAATGATGGGAATGGCAGGCATGATTGCTTGTTTTGTTTGCTTGCAGTGTTTAAAGGTTTGCCATGTCGTTTTACTTGTCCAAGGTGGGGCACATTTTGATCCCCGTTTCCTGCGTATGCTCCGCTTGCTTCAGACAGCTAAGCACTCTCTGACACCGTTTGTAAAGACTCAGGTGCTTCCAGGCCTGCTGCCGCCGCCGTTGTCCTCCAAAACCAGGCCTTCACCGCTGAAACCCATATCTTTCGCGACGACCAACTCTACATCTGGGAGGACAGGAGTTATGGGGTGCAGCTCTTCCACCATAGCTCTCGATGTCCGGTTCAACTCCAACTTTTGTTTCTCGGGCAATGTACACCGGTTGTTCTCGTCGTCTTCCTGGAAGACTTGACGGATCCATCGGTGGGAGGTGTCTCGTGTTCTAGTGGAGCTCAAACCGAGGATATATCAGAGGCATCGATCAGTACTGTTTCTCCGTCAAAATCCCTGTCACAGTCCATGTCTATCAATTACCTCACGAGGCAGTCCGCCCATACGAAGCCCGCGCCGGTGACAGTAGCGAGACTAACAACAAATCCAAGGCAGGTATTTGCAAGAAGCTCCAATCATCAATGGAAGCTCAGATACGATTTCTCCTGAAGAAGTGCAGGACCGTGGCCGGGTCTGGTGTGTCCCGTCCCTCTGGTGTTGGGGGAGGTCCTAGAATGGGACCCAGGGATCCTGGTGGTAGTGCTAATTCTTTTCAAGGTGTAGGTGGCGGGGGTGCTCTATTTCAACTGGACCCTTCCAGGGCCGTCGTAATGCTGGACAGGTCCAGCAACCGCGTGACCGATGCTCTAGATGCTGCGACAGATGCCATTGACGCCATGTCACTTGGAAAGGAAGGTGCAGAGGACGCACTTTGGGAAGTCGGTTTGAGTGTTGGGGGTGGGAGGAGAGGATGTACAGGGTGTGAAGGACTTCCTATGGAGGCAAGCTGATACTTTACAAGGAAGGAAGGCAGACAGGGAGGAAGATAAGTAGATGCTTGCTAGCTGGAGATGAAGGATGAGGAGGTGTAGCAGTTATATGTTCGATGCTAGCCAGGTAGCCACCATTCTTGTTGTTGGGTCTTCGTGCTTGAAGTAGTGTGGAACTGCTGAGCCTTCATGCCGTCTGCTCACTCACCGCGCGAGCAGTTCGGGCAGATCACCGACAGCCCTACGAGGTCTAGAAGCAGACCTCCAAACTTGACTCTCATAGCCAATCCTTTTTCCTAAATTACGGATTGATTTTGCCGACTTCCCTTACCTACATTTTTTTTATCGACTAGATGCAGTTCACCTTGGAAACCTGATGCGGTTATGAGTACCAACCGGAGCATTAGGGGTTCACAATGGACCAGATGAGCAGGCTCCAACATGGTTTCCATGATGTCCGGTGGATGTTTGAGTAATTCTAGAAGTAGGTTATGTACCGGATAGAATGGCAGCGATTAACGATGGGTTCTGCGAGTTTTTCATCGTACAAGTGAATGTTACCGTATGTGGAAAGTGAATTCCACTGGTAACCGGCCAAACAAGTATTTCTGGCCAAAAATTTTTAAAAAATGAAGTTTTTTCTAATAACTACAGTAAGTTTGTAGATTAGAAAGTAATAACTATGGGATAAGAAGGTCGGAAAATCGAAACAAAGAAAGAAACTAGGGGAGGCACGGATTGAGGGCGGAAGAGGAGGAAGAGGCAGGAGGGGAGGAGCTAGGAAGGGAGCAAGAGCGGGCAGAGGGAGGATTTCGCGGCTTTGTGGATGCGAATATGATGTGGTGAGCAGATGGGTAGCCGAGATTGCGTGCACAGGGACGCAGGAGGCTCGGTGGCGAACATTTTGGTGTTATGAGCGGGCGTTCCCGAGGTCAGGATGAGCGTGGGACCTCGATAATCTGACTCTTGGTGTTCTTGGAGAAAATGCAATGGCTTGTGGTGGACTAGCGATCAAGAATGGAGATCTGAGGCCCGAGGATTGTAAGATCTGCTTTTTGTGAGGCTCTCGACCTTATGTTGAGTTAGATGAGGGTCGAGGGAGGTGGGATGGTTGTCAATTGAAGGTGTAGCTATGTGGAACTATCATGAAGCCTGGAAGAGGGGTGATGGAATGTGGGGATGATGCGAGTCGCGAAGACGGAAACTGTGAGTGCAAGTATCGTGTTGTAGGTTAGGCATTGTTGAAAAAGGTTCATGCCAGGGATGCGTTTGACTTTTTAGTCCACTGTGATTGTGCCGGTCGAGAGATTGCCTGTCCGATCTCTTCTTAGAGCCACGCTTATGTTGTCAAGCTGCAGAACTTGTAATTGGAGCTCAGAGCGTAGGAGCTTTGAGCTTTGGGATCACAGTTGCACTCCCGGGAGTGCACATTTGTTGGGCTGTCATAACCTTGGGGCCGTAAGACCATGCTGTGGGTGGTCTAAATATCAATTTGATTAGCTTCTGACACCGCTCTTGTCACGTCCCTCCATTTCATCCCTGGATCTTGTGTGGAAGGAGGCAAATGACCACCTTGAGGCTCAACACTGTAGAGGCCTGTGTGCCACGGCTGTGATTTATGCTCTCTGGTGCCACCTGTCCTGTTTGCGGGAACTACCATGGGTGCTTTGTGGTCTTGGAACATGGATGAGCGCTGTTGGAGGGCAGTACCCGAAGTAAAAACGTTCCATTTGCATTCGTCCTGGTCTCGTCACAGTGTTCTGGACCTATTTATGTTAGGGGCGTGGTGAAATTGAATTGAAGCTTTTGCATCCTATTGCTGGAAGATCTTGGAACTGGCCAGCAGGGACTTGTTAATAATCGGTGTTGTCGAAGGGTCGGTTTTTACAGTAGACGTGCTACGCACTGCGCTATACGAGCGTGAGAAGCATTGGGAAAAACTGGGGCCGCAGAGACATCAATGAAGTCGACCTGAGAGGTTGTTCTTGAGGATTAAGCGGCCAGGCAAGTGTTCAACCCGACGAGATCGGCAGTCGCATTTGTCATCGGAGGGCTCTCTTGCGGTGGTAGATATTTAGGTGAAGCCTATTTTCTCTTGCTGCTTTTCTGATCGTGGAGAGTTGGTTGGATACCAAGGGGTTCATGCTCTAAGCGCAGCGCCATGGAATATGGTGCGAGCATTAGTCGAGGTCTTGGGGATATCTTGGAGAGTGTCAAGCGTTTGTGTTCGTTGGAGTCCTTCCTGGTTGTGAGTCGGAAGAGCAAGTTGAAGACAACAACTATTTGGATCCAAACCTGTGGAAGAACCTTCCTGATGATCTTCATGCATAAGTGCTCCAAAAACTGCCATTAGAAAGCCTTGTAAAGTTTTGTATGGTTTGTAAGAAGTGGAATGCTTCCTATATATTGATCAATTTTATTCCTCCATTGAATTTGGCTAGGAAGTGTGTGCCCATTTACTTCCATGATGAGGTGCCCTCCACGGTCTACAACCGAAGGAGAAACTCGTGGCAGCAATTGTCTTTCTCCTTCTTGGAAACTCCTAGCACCTTTTTGTCCCTTCTTGCATCAGCTGGAGGATTGCTCTGCTTTAAGAGTGGCATAGCCGGCGAGTTAATAGGTTGCAACCCGATCATCTAGCAGTCCCGACAACTACAGGTGCCTTGCAGAATTCGCCATGACGCTATCACTCAAATTGACGGAGAGAGGGAAGTGGTTATTTATGAAAGTGCTCATTCCACCCGGAACCTAAAAGTGTATCATCTCTCTACCGGTTCTTTTGACAAGGAAGTCGTCGTGGGAATGGTTGTGGAGCATGGAAACAACTATGGAAGTGGCTACAAGCTGGTTGTTGCCAGAGTGATGCTTTCCGACAATTCTTCCGAGAGAACAACACTGGTCTATGACTCAGTCACTAACTCCTAGAGAAAGGTGATGAAGTTCCCAGAGGAGTGAGGTTTTGGAGATCTGGGAAACCAATCTCCAGCAAAGGATACCTGTACTGCATTACATACAATGAGCAGGTTTGGAGAGAGAGAATGGACCAGGAGTGGCCGTGGAGTGGGCTTAGATATGATTTGGAACATGAAAGGTGGAGGTAGAGGAGGAAATACTGGTTGGCTCGGTCCTATTCTAAATGGTGCTGTAGAAACTGGGGATGTTAAAAAGGTTGTAGACGCCCCGGGACTTGCTTTCAAAACTCTTCGTAACCTCAGTCTTTTCTTGTGGGGCTACGTTGCTCCAACTTTTGTTCGTTGGAGGAGTTGATTTTGAGATTCTTATACCTGGATTCGAGCCTGGAAAAGAGAGCAGCGAAGGTTCCTGTTGACTTGTTATAGTACTGGATGTTGTACTCATTTCTGTTGAAGATTCGTCAGATGATCTTTCCTCAATTATGCTCGTAGAATTAGCACTTCCTGGACTTGATTCTGAATGTGATGGTATCTTGTTGGGAGGAGTCAGTAAACTAACTCTGGGGACAACGTCCAAGCCTGGTATGTTGGTAGGTGTCCCAGTGGCCGGAGACAGAGAAGGAAGTTCTGGTTGAGTTGAACTGGATAGGAGTTTTTGCTTCTCTACTTGTTGGGCGTTTAACAATGGAACCCGTCCTACTCTGGCCGGAGAAACTCCCTGGTGTATTCAGCTTATCGTTTGTAACCTCAGAACTAGGTTTAGTCCTGATGGAGGTAGGAGCTGATGAGACGGTTGGTTTAGAGAAAGAAATTGGCAGGGTAGGCAAGTTCTGTGCTCCAGTGATGCCGGGACTTATGAAGGATGAACCCTGCCCTGCTTTGCTTGTGGATCTCTCTGGGACTTTGATCTTGCCTTGAACAGGGAGAGAGATAATGATTTTTTTCATGGAAAGTGTTGATAGCGAGCCTGTTTTTCCAATTTTCAAAGATGGACTAGATACAAGCAAAGTTGGAGGAGATGAAGACTTGAGTTCTGGTTGGCTTGGTCTAGTTCTTGATTGTGTTTGGCTGGTGGAGGAGTTCGAGGAGAAAACTGAACCCGACTTGTCTATATATGTCTGTGGAAGAACGTTCTCACTAGTGGACGAAGGTTGCCGAGACTGGCTTGCCAATCTCTCTGGAACTCCCGCTTTAACTTTGATAGATTCCAGGGTGGTCGTTTTCTTACTAGAAGGCATGGATAACAAACCTCTTGGGTCGAGGTCCGATGTTGAAGGAGGGAGGGGCAAAACTTGTAGAGAAAGTTCTCGTTGGCTTGATTCAACTTTTGGTGGTCCTTCAACAGACTCGGGCAACTCGGAGGATGGAACCGTCCCAGATTTGGTCGCCGATTTCCCTGGAGGTTTAGTCTGACCTTTTGAAGACATGTGACTTGGTGCCAACGAAGGAGGGATTGTAATCGCCGCTCTGGGGTGCATGTCCAAGGATGAAGATGGAACTGGTGTACCTGGGCTGGAGGATGAATGAACTTTTGATTGGCTTGATCTAACCTTGGATGGTGCATCAACAACATGGGCTGACTTAGAGGATGACATGTTCACACTTTTGGTCGTAGGTTTGTCTCGAGGCTTGGCGGTACCTTTGGCCGATTCAGCACTGGATGAACCCTTTGCAGGAGGGGTAGATACAGAGGCTCTTGTGTCGACATCTGAGGGTGGGAAAAGGGGTAGGGAAGTTGTAATTGGAGAAGGAGGCTTCGGTGGAGTTGATTTATTGCTTGTTGGTGCGTCAACACTCAAGGATGAATTTAGCTCAGATTTGGTTGAGAATCTCTCTAGGTGTGTGGCCTTACTTTTGATAGATTGGAGACTATGAGTTTTCTTGGCAGTACGGATCAATAACGAGGCATCGCACATGACTCATTTGGATCTAAAAGGATGTGGAATTCTGGCTCAAACCGCCATTCGCTGCCTTTCTCTTTCTTTGCTCGATGCGTCGTATTGCAACCAGTTAGATGATGACTTCCTCACAGCCAATCCTTTTCCCTAAGTTACGGATCTGCTCTGCCGACTTACCTTACCTACATTGTTTTATTGACTAGAGGCAGTGCACCTTGGAGACCTGATGGGGTTATGAGTACCGACCGTAGAAGTAGGAGCATCTTGGGTTCACAAGGGACCAGATGAGCAGGCTCCTACAGAGTTTCCATGATGTCCGGCAGAGCCCACGGTTCGAGTAATTCTAGGAGTAGGTTAGCTCCCGGATAGTATGGCAGCGATTAACGATGGGGCTTATGGGCACCCGGTTGCTAATCCGGAAAGTTAGTGGCGGCCACTAGAAATAAGAGGCAGCCACCGGTCCGGAATTGATGGGCTTTTAGTTGGTCACTGGTAGAAGATAGGATTTAAGCCGGGGGTTTTCTCAAGGTAGGGGTCTCTTTTTGTACTCAATTTTGAGTTTTTCAATTGAGAACATACCTGTAGTTTTTATCTGTGGAATGGTTGTCGAAACAGGCCCAGGGACAGTTGTCTTGAGTAGATATTCGGGAAGAGTGTTGAACAGTAGGAGAATATGGAGAGCGTCCGGAGTGAGTGGAAAAGTGTCAGGCGTAGAGTGTTGACGGTTTCCACCGTCGAGAAGTACCTAGAGGGGAGGCAAGACTTAGTGCAGCATAGGCTGGTAGTCTTCAGGACACAGGCGTTGTGTGTAGACCGGACTCCTTCATAGGGTCGGTCACTTTTTGATGATAGGATTAAAGCCAAGTTACTAACTGCGAACCAGTTCGGAAGTCAGAGACGAAGTCAGATTAGGTGTTATTGTTATTGTCTTAAAGGGGGAAAACTGTAAATCTTCGTGGGAACAAACGCAGAGCGGTTTACTTTGGGAAATGTTTAGTGTAAACTAAGTGATTTCCGAAGAAATATTGATACCACGTCGTGTTACACCGTTCATCAGTACAATGAAGAAAGAAGACAATATATTTTCAGATAAATAACAAGCAGAGAATTGGTAAATCGGTGGATGTATAATCAATTCTCAAAGTTGTCGATACCTTGGTTAACGCCCACTTCAAATGAAGCACGCGAGCGAAGCGATTCCTCTTCTTTTCTACGCTGAATGTTTGAGAATTTTTTTTGAAGATTAGTAATTCAAGACATTTCTAGCGGATCAAGGTAGCGGTGGCTGTTGAGGAAGATACTTTGATTTGTAGAAGATACCACATCCAAAGTAGGAGCTCCAATTTGAATGTTCTGAAATAGCGATTGGCTTGTGACCGCATTTAAGCAAATTCGCAATTGGCAGCTGCCTGCAGATCCTCTAATTGTACTTCTTAGGAATTTCCCCCCCTGAATCTTAAGTTGAGGTCGCAATCGACCTCTGAGTTGTTGCAATTGCTTGTTTCAGGTGTGTGTGTGTGTGTGTGTCTTACGCTGCATTGTGTGTCCTCTAAGAGACCTTTGAGTCAAAGACCTACAGTACTTCTGGGAGTGATGTGGTAACGCAATTTTTGTTTTTTTTTCGGAATTAAAACATTTTTGAATAGTAAGTACCGCGGAAGCGGCTATAAATAATAAATGGTACGCAAAAATAAAGTAAAAAGGGGATATCGGGTCTAAGGAATCGAAAGCAGTCTATTGGTTCGGGGCTTAGGCCACAGTCAGGCGTCTTGGACGGGACGTGCGGTTCAAGCAGAGGGCTCGCTTCAAGCGCCTTTAGCTGAGGAGCCTTCGGCGCAAGTAGAAGGAAGTTCCTTTGGCTCAAGCTCCTCGGAGGAGGCTCTACCGTGGAAGACGTATGAAGCATGTATTATGGAACTCCTTCATTGGTGGAAACGACCTCGTCGCTAGACTTTGCCTTCGGCTGTAGACTTTTTCGGCCGAAGCGCCTTCGATCAAGCACCTTCGGCATTAGCGCCTTCGTCGCTAGCGCCGCCTTCGTCGTTAGGGTCCGCCTTCGGCGGAAGGCTATGCCTCTGTCTCTAGGATGCTCTTTCGGTGGAAGGACTCGCCTTCGGCGGAAGAAGAAAAGAAAAAAAAAACGGCAGAAGCGTGTACCTTCGCCGCGAGCGCCTTCGGCGGTACGCGGACGGAGTGCTACGTCGGCGGAAATTGGCGGGATTAATTCGAATGTACAAGTGTGGGAATCCGCGCAACGGCGGAGAGTGCTTCTGACGCTCTTCTGTCATCATTTTCGTCTTTCGGCCAGATACTTTGAAAAGTAGAGTGAAAGTCGCCAGCTCAACTGGCGGAATGCTTTCAAAACCAATTTACTAGAGTAAGGCATAGAGGAAAGCGGAAACCAGACTCTGTTTTGTCGGACACCACAAAACCAAAATACTGTCTGACAAGGGCCCGCGACTGTCTGACAGAATCCGAGCCGCTACGCGCACCGATGCCCTTGCACTTGCTCTAACAGCTTTTGTGTTTCACTGCAGGGTTGGAGCCGGCCCCCCGGACTTTGTTTTGTCGGACACCACAAAACCAAAAAACTGTCCGACAAAATAAAGGGAAAGAGCCTATGTGCCTAAACAGGTGTTACCCTGCATCGCCTGAAGTTCAATTTGCGGGTGCGAATCAGACCGTTACGCCTAATCGCCGGCATAGCATTCAAGCGGGACGCTGCCAATCCAAATGTCGAACTATGAGAGTTCTTGATCGCGGAGGGAGAGACTCATTCACGCATTTCCAATTTTTCACTTGCTCGAACACGCGACGCACAGCAGCAGTAGGAGCTCGTAGAGACTTTCAAGAATTCGATGGCCAAGTCTATTCCGCTACAGATGGTTCCACTGCGAGTGCCGCAAGTCGGATTGCGGGCGTTCCAGGATGAGCTGACAGCGGTGAAGCTGGATTTTATTTTGTGGGGATGGCATTAGGTGTGCCCGGCGATGATCCGGGAGTGGCTGCGCGAGAAGGACTAGCCCCCGCGAGGTTATCGACCGCACCCGGAGAGATGGCGAGTGAGTGATTGGGAGCAATTCTTGGGAAGATGATTCAAGAATTGCAAGTCGAGCAAAAACAGGTACAGGACCCGTGACTATGTTGATCGCAAGCGGAGGAATGTCGCGGTAGCACTCCTCCAGATTTTGCAGCCGCACAGAACTACCTACATGACATCTTGGCAGGTGGGATTTGTGAAGCTGGCGTTGGCGGGTACCCCAATTCATTGGGCTCGCATTGTGTGGAAGGCCACACGGCAGCATGCGGGATAGGAGAAGGGAGGATCGATTAATCACCTTTTCCCTTTCTTGATCAATTTTTATCGGTCGATGGGGTGTTTGACAGCAAAGGAGAGGATACATTTTCCCGTGCTGTCGCGGTTGAATCCGAGAAGGTTTGTGAGGGATGTAGAGATCGATACAGATTCCAACGAAGTGCCCGCCAGCACACCGCCGGCTCAACTGAGAGCGGAGTAAGAACCGAGGGGAGCGGGCATCCCGGAAGCGGAAATGGGATGGAGAGTCAGAATTGAGTCAGCGAGAATTGCTCGCTGTCCCAGTCGAGCGTCGGGCAAACAATGAGCCAGTCCGACCGAAGCAGAAGGCTCGCAAGCTGATCTTGCCAGCGGACAGCAGCGCGGACACGGGGCGAGCTCACTAGCCTCGAAAGAGGATGTGAGTGCGGAGGTTCTTGGAAGGTCGACTAACCTCCCTGGACCGAAGGCACGTGTGCCTTCGAATGAAGCGCTTAGGCCTTCGGGCCACAGAGGAAGGCATGTGGCAACGGCCGGAATGCCTGCGATGGAGAGGTGCTTGCTTTCCGAGCAAGTACCATTTGATGATTCGCCTTCAGGTCAAGGGCCTTCGACTCAAGCGCCTTCGGCCCAGGAGCACTTTAGGGAGGAGCCTTCGGCACAGGCGCCTTTGGCACAAAAAACCCCTAGAGCAAATTACTACGGGCGAAGGCAGGGATGCCGAGACACGTGTGCCTTTGGCGGAAGCGCCTTCGGCGGTACCAATCCAGGAAGGTGTAGGAGGTTCGCCTCGAGCAGGTTCTCCTATCCCGTTGGAAGTATTAGTAGGTCACAGAGTGAAGGCCGCAGCAGAGGAAGCTGCGATGCCTAGTGCTAGAGAACCGTCGAGGATTTCTGCAGCGATAGAAATCCTGGAGACCGAAGACGACACGCCTTCGGAGATGGAGGAAGTGCAGTTAGTGCGAGGTACACCGACCGAAGTGCTCAGCGAGCAAGTGATGCCGTTACTCCGGTACCTTGATGGCAAGGCGACCAAGTACGGGGATCCCCGCCAATGTGGATCCTATGTTGAGCTAGTCCAAAATCAGACTCGGATCAAAGTGGCAACAAACCCCGAGTTGATGACCCTGGACCAGAAGTATCGGCAGCTGGAAGAGCGCTACAATTTCCTGCAGGATCAGTGTACCTTATCGCAGAAGCTGCAGAAGACGGCGATTCAGCTGTGAGATGAGATGGTGAGTAATGCGCAGCGCGAAATTGATGAGCTGCGTGCGAAGGTCCAGGCGGAAATCAGTTCCGAGCAAGCTCAAAACCGCATTCTGGCGGGGGAGGTCGTGCGACAAACGCGGGCGTTAGAGCAGAGTGAGGCCGCGAGGAGTCCCGACGAGAAGTTATTGGGTCGATTGCAATCGCAATGCGACAAACTGAGGACGCAACGTGCGGCGGTGGAGTTATAGTTGGCAGAGGTTGAAGGCCACAATCGGCGCACGATAGATCGCACGCGAGAGGAGTTAGTTTCGCAGGTTGACCGATGTTTTAGAGGTTATGCTCGCTGGGAGATCGCGGCGCGGGAGAGGATGACGTTGCGCGAACTTGAGATATGTGCGACGGCTTTGATGTCTGGCGACAAACAAAGTCGGCGGCGAGTGGCGAAGCGGTTGGAGTCAATCCTATCCCGGTCGCGGGATGCCATTGCGAACCTCGAGGCAGAGGTGACCGAGTTGTTGCGGCGGCTGGAACTGCGTAGGAGAGTAGACGAGTGGACGGGTAGGGAGTTAGTGGGTTGTCGGCCGTCTCATAAGAGGCATAGCCGATGAAGTAGAGTGTTAGGTAGTTAGGATCTTAGAGTGTATAAAGTAGTCCAAGGCGTTGGCCTTGGGGGATTTTCCAGTTTTGGAAGTTCAGTTCAGGAACTCGTTTCCTTTGCGTGTTTGTGTCTTTCGTTCTATCACCACGCAAGAGGAGCTATAGCTTGACAAAGTTACCGCATTTTATAGCAGAAGGCCTTTGTTCGAATATTCTGTGCTAGCATATTGGCTAGTCATGATTTAAGCAAGTTCGGACTTACACCTTCGGACGTTTTTCCTTGTTTGTACTCCTTCGGAATTTCCCCCCCTAAATACCAAAGTGAAGTTTTGTTAACTTTGGAGTTAGAGTTGGTTGAATTCAGGTTGAGTGTGTTACGCTGCTTCAGGCGCCTTCGGGGGTAACCTTCGCAGTATTTCTGGGAATGATAGTTGCCTGAAAATTCAAACTCGACTGTTAAGTTGTAACATTGGGTCTTTTTTCCATTTAGTTTCTCA